GGGAGGAGGTAGAGAAATCGGGAGTGAAGTTGAGCCCGGGAAGAAGGGAGGGGTGGGGGGAAGGTGTTTGAAGATTTGGTTTTTGTTTCTCATTACCCTACTCTGATTTGATTGGTAATAAATTAAATTATTTTTCCCCAAGTTGAGTCTTTTGCCCGTGCTGGTAATTGGTGAGTGATCTCTCCCTGTCCTTATCTTGACCCGTGAGCCTTTCATTATATTTTCTCTCCCCTGTCCAGCTGAGGAGGGGAGTGACAGAGCAGCTTAGTGGGCACCTGGCATCCAGCCAGGGTCAACCCACCACAGGCAGGATGTGATTGTTTTTGCTAGGCCACAGTTGGGGTATTTTGTACCAAATGCATAGTATTGCAAAGGCTTAGAGAGACCATGTGCCTGTCGCTGCTCAGAGGTGTTGAGCCAAGACTTTCTCCTTCAGAAGGGAGCCAACGCAAACCCTTCTGTTCCTTCTTGCCCCTACCATCATCCGGAGAATGGAATGAGCATATCCAAGCGTTGCCTTAAATGTTTTCTGATGGCTAGTCCTGAATGCCTTTACACAGGTGTAAATCCAGAAAGAATTGTTGATACTATTTTTTCATTGTGGTTATAAGAAGTGTTAAAGATTACTGTCACTGAGGGATATTAAAGAAACATGGCAGCAGAAAATTCCAGAAGAATATCTTGTGCACTCATCGGCACTTTGGGTAGAATAGGTTTTGCTGTTTCTTATGGTGTTTGTGTTGGTCTTCTAGTCAGCAGTCAGAGGAGGGAAGGAATGTTTTATGAAACACAAGGTGTAAATAACGCTGTGGGGAGCTCTCGGCAGGGCTAGAATATGAAACTACTTTTTGGTGTTGTGGGGTTTTGTTCTTCCCCCAGTGAATCAGGCTATAAGCTATTCCTATTGGTAGTGAGATGGTGCAGGTTGAATGTCTGGATGTCCTGGTCTCGGCGACACCGGATTTCAGTAGTTTACGGGCCTCTGGGGTGCTGAGGAGGCTCTGCCGTGGGAATTGCTTCGTTGCAGACTGAGCAGAGCTATGATGGATGTGCAGTGGGGAGAAACTGACTCCGAGTCTTAACAGACTGAACAGGCGACGTGGTTTTCCTGCACCTTCTGGCTGGTCAGACTGAACAGGCCACGTGGTTTTCCTGCACCTTCTGGCTGGTCTCATGGTGTGAGAGATGTGATGATGCCCATTTAAGGGCGATGGGACAAGAATAGTCTGTTAAAGTGAAAGAGTCAGGACTGAGAGGTAACCCCTCAGAATTTGCAGTGCAGCCAAAATAGAGCCCAGTGCAGAGCTTGTACCACTCTTTCTACCAGGTAAAAACTTTGAACTGGTCTTGTGTGTGTTACTGAGTGGAGAGAGAAGCAAAGAGACATTGGGGAGAGAGGGAGACTATTCTAGTGCTAAAGACTGCAGTGGTTAATGAGAGAGAAATCAAAGGCTGAGCGATGGAGTGGCTTCTTTCTGCCATGCAGTTGTATAGGGATGGCACCACTGTGCTCGTGTCGCTGTCTCAGGCTCTGAGACATCCCTCTTGATGGAATTTGGGGGTGGGAAGCGCCTTGAGAAGCTGTTTGGTTCAAGTGTGCCCTGTGCTCTCTTTCAGATCAATCTCACATGTCTTTTGAGGAACTACTGCGGATGCAGAGTGATAGGAGAACGAAAGTGTGCAAGCAGGTGACCAGTGCGAAGAAAACTGCAAAGCCTACCAAAGCTACGGTGAAGCAGCAACAAGGCAAAAAGGGGTAAAGAGGTTCTTCTGTGATCAGAAAAATGTGCATGTGTGCTCTCTGCACTCCAGAAGTTATGCTGGGAGCTCCTCACAGTGTTGCCATTGCCTCGGGGCTGGTGTAGATCTCCTTTAATGTGCTACACAATAATGCCTTTCACTATAGTGTTTCATTTGGGAGTGGTCTGTTGCTGTTTCAGAGCTCTTAATATCCTATCCTGTTCAAATCCCCAGCAGCCACCTGTTACTCAATAGTTAAATCGGCACTCAATTCCTTTACGCCCTCTGTATTAAGGCACTTTTAACCCACAGCATGGTATGCTTCTCTTTTAAGCTGTATGATAGTGCTTTACTTGTGTCCTCTGGGCCATGAAATGGTTACCCTGCCATTTTCTAAACCCCTTCCAGCTTATCAGCATCTTCTGCCTGGCTCCCACTGGCTGGAGTTGCAGTGACAGCCAACTGTTCTGGAACTTCATTCATCCTTCTGCCGTTGTCTCATCTGTGACTTGTCTGTGTTGATTTTCCTTTTTTCCCCCTCTACAGTACTTATCATCACAGACTTTTTCCTGTTCTCAGTGGTCTTTACATCTCCTATTTGCGTGCTCTGTAGGTGCTATTGATGTGGTGACTATAAAATGTATTCAACACAGCAAAAACTATCACATCTCTTTGCAGTCCTCCACAGGCCCCCACTGGTAACAACTGTTATACAATTACCCTTTATTTGCAGTCGTTAGCTGGTTTTCAGTCCTCAGAGTCGTATCTAAGTGATTTGAACAGGTTTCCTCTGTTACACTGGCATTCCCTAACCTATTTCTGAATCTCTGCCTAATACATGTTTCTTCTGCCATAAACAGTTGATTAGAATAATGTTTCTTGCTTTACCTTTTACTCAAGAGTCTGGGGGATTTTGTGTAGTGCAACATCTTCACACAGTGTCTCTATTTCTGCCACACAGTTTGCATAATTCTGTTTTTATTTAAGTTCCCTAATCCTTTAAGTGATGCATCACTGTAAATTCCACATGCTGTTTCTCTCATGTTTTTGTTATTAAAGTGAGCTTCTTAAAAAAAAAAAAAAAAAAAAGTAAAAAAAAAAAAAAAAGGGGAGTTTTAAAAAAAAAAAAAAAAAAAAAAAAAAAAAGACTTCAGGGAAATCCCCTGGAACTGAGCTGGCTTTAGCAATGCTGTATAAAGCTGACTCAAGAGCATTGTACAGGGGTGTAGCCACATCAGCAGACGTGAAAATACACCGAACGCTGCCCTAAGTGAGATTTGGAAAACTTACTTACGCCTGTGGGGTTGTTTATGTTCCTGCCCTGGTGTTATTGTGTTGCTGAATGTGGTATAATGCCCGCATTGTGGGTACTCTCAGCGGGTGGTTCATAGTTCTTTTCATGTTTCTAGTAACTTACCTGATGTACTGACAAATCGCAGGACACAGCATCCAAGTAATATGGGGAGAGTAATATCCCGTTCTCCCACCTTATACTGTCCCCCTCGTACACCTAAAGCATCAAGCTCTAAAGGCCTGTGTTGCAAGGAGAACTTGTTCCCTTAATTGGTTGTCACCATGGTCCTCAATGGTCCTGATTCACTGTCAAGTCTCTTTTGGGATATGTACCATAAGCTGTATGGCCCTTATTCCTGGGGGCTGACCTTTTCTTTACTTGTGTTATGGTATGCTTTCTTGCTGAGCATGGCCACAGCAGAATTGGCCTGTCTTTGTAACTACCAGGTCAGTGCAGAAATTGCCAGCTTTGGTCTCCTCTTTCACTGTAAGTATTAGTCAAGAGTGGATGAGTTGGTGGGCCAGGAATGGAAGAGGGTTGTTGCATGATGAATGAAAACGTGCAGGGGGAGAGGAATAATTGAGTACGGCACATTTACTGATGCGGGTGGTGGGTTTTCACTTGATACAGTGGGGCTGTATCAAGTTTTGTGTAGGATTGTTTTAACCACGCATTTATAGATCATTTGATTGTAGTAGCCTTGTCTGGCTCTTGACCGAGTCACCTCTTTGTTCTCTGTAGGTGTCATGGTGAGGATTGAGTGGGAGAGTCTGCCGTTTCGGCACCATGCAGTAATATTCTCCTGAGGGTCTGGCTAACCTCCTGACACATTAGCCTGGGTCTCATTCTCTCCTCTGCTCCTCTTAAGTACATTTTTCTCTTTTTCAGGCCATTGGAGATGTCTGCCAAGAAGCCTGTACCTTTTCTGCGACAAGTCGTCTCTGTTACAAAGAAGGTGGGTGCTCCCCCTCCCCAGTTCAGGAGCTGACTTCCCTTAGTGATGCTAATAGGGCATAGACATGGTAACGGGGCTGCTGAAGATGACACGGGCTGTTTCTGGAGGATAGGGCTTGGACCACTGGTGAGCGCAGGTCGTGCTAGCGTGTCTCTGGGGAGAACAAGAGACTGGGTGCAGGAGCGGCTGCTCTCTGTATAACCTGCTGCCCTGTATAATGCATAACTTGAGGAGTAACGAACATTTGAGACCTAAGTGTTTCTAGAAGATGTAATGGCTGCCACCAGTGACAATTGCACTGCAAGCTATGGTCATTGCTCACTACTAGTCACATTGGAAGTTCAAATGTCTGTCTAGTTTCTAATCTGAATATAACTTTGACTTATCATTGCTGGATCATCTTAATATGTTAATTTCCACAGTTAGAGACCTCTTTTTGTCTCTCTCTCTTTGTATGACCTGACCCAGGTAATCTGTGAAAATCTAGATGGGTTTGAATTCCCACATCCATCACCTTGACAACACACGTTCAGCCAGCTCTTGGTCTGGGAGTTGCAGGTGTTTGGAGGCAGCACTCATGCTGTTCTTCCTTGAATTGGCTTCTCCTGGGTGGTAGACTTGCATATGGAAGTGCCTGTTGCTTGGTAGACTGAATGCAGGCATAATGACTTTGTGAGGCACTGCCACCTTGATTATTGGGCTTGGTCTTTGCCAGTGGCAGATATTATGCACCCACCATTGAAAACATTGCTAGTTTAAAAAAAAAAAAAAAGGCAAGGTCTGATCCATGGAAGGAGAGTAAGCAGGCAGTAGTCTGGGGTAGTCCTGGCCACAGCTCTTACCTTTGCCTTCCCTGCCTTCAGGTCCACAGAGACCCTCGATTTGATGACCTGTCTGGGGAGTATAAGCCTGAAATATTTATGAAGACGTACAGCTTCCTGGACAGCATCAAGAAGCGGGAGAAGGAGGTGATGCTGTGTGCTTGTCCTTGGTCAGAAGAACCTTGCTTGGCAGGGGCAGCTTCCGCAAAGGCCTATCACAGTGGAGGTGGCAGGCAGGTAGTCATGTAGCTTCCTACTCTCTCCTTCAGATGATTCAGAAGCAGCTGAAAAAATGCCGGAACGTGGAGCAGAAGGAGAAACTCCAGCAGCTCCTGAACCGCATGGTAAGTTCAGTGCAGCATCTCCTCTCCTGTGAGGCAGTGCACTGGAAGAGAGGATGCCTAGACACTTGCTGACACAGGCCATCCTCTCTGTACAGACACAGCAAGAACAGGCACAGAAAAAACAGCAGAAATTGAGGGAGAGGGAGCTGTCTTTGAAGAGACAACGGAGGCAATTGGCCAAGCAGGGAAAGAAACCTTTCTTCCTGAAGAAGTGTAAGTACTCGGTGTGAATATGCTGCAGGAAGACCTAGAGGGAGTACTGCTGACAGGACTCCAAGCACTGGAAGAGAGTTGTCCATAATATTCCACAGAGCTGTGGAGGGATTGTTCTAGCGCTGGTATTCAAGGGACAAGCCAGGCTTGGAGCCAGGGAGGGAGAGGTGAGAAGGGGCTGGTCTGTAGAGATGATGTTTAGGCTTCAGTTTAAAACCTTGCTCCCCTCTCCTCTACAGCCGAGAAGCGGAAATTGGAGCTAGCTGAGAAGTATGCAGAGCTGAAGAGGAGTGGAAAGCTGGAGAGCTTCCTGAACAAGAAGAGGAAGAGGAATGCCATCAAAGACAAGCGCCGTCTGCCCTCACAGAAGAACTCGTGACTGCTGGACAGACATGCTGTTGTCTGGCACTGGGATTCACCCTGCCCTGGCCAGGCCTGGAAGACGGCCATCCCTCTTCCCAGTATCTGCCTTTCACTGTACAGTGATGCTGTTAGGCAGCAGAGCAGAGGCTGAACTGAAGGAAATAGCGCTTTTTGTAGCTGAAATGTCCTCTTCACTTGTGGTTAACACCATACCTGGGTGGTGACAAGTCTTGTTATGCAGATGCACATGGTGTTGACAGCTGTCTCTGTCCTTGCACCTGCTCATCTCTTCCTCTAGCTAGGAGAGCATGAGCCCTGCCCTGCCTTGCTGGCTCTACTCCAGGTCTTATCAGACACCAACTGATGGGAAAGGACCTCAGGTGGGGAGGGCTCTGGTACAACACCTGTTCAGAGCAGGGCTAGCACTGACTTCAGACCAGGTTGCCCAGGGCTTCTTCAGTTGGGTCTGGGAATGTCCAAGGACGGATGCCACCACCTCTCTTGGCCTCTGCTCCACTGCTTCAAGTTCTCAAGATGAAACTTTTTTTTTTCCTCCTCCAGGAAACCTGCCTGGTTTTAGTCAATAATCATTGTCTTGTTCTCAGTGAAGTGCCTGGCTCAGTCTTCTCAGTAGCCTCGTCATAGGTCTGGGGAGTGGGTGGGAAAGGGGTGCTGTTAGGTCTCCCCAAAGCCGCCTTTTCCTGAGGGTGAATAAACCTTATTCCCTCAGCCTTTCCTTGCAGTGCTCCAGCCTCTGACAACTTTCACATCCTCAACTGGAGTCAGCCCAGAGGATCAACATCTATCTTCTGGGGGCCCAGCCTGGATGCAGTATCTGGATGTAGTCTCACAAGTGCTGAGTAAAGGGGAGAGGATCACACCTGCACCCTGGTGATGCAGCCCCTGGTGTGGCTGGCCTTCCTTGCAGCCGGGGCACGCTGCTGACTGTGCTCAGGTACTGCTGCCCGGGATCTCTGCAGCAGGGCTGCCTCTCTTGGCTTCTCAAGGTGGTCTCTACAGGGCTATTGGTCCTTCTAGGAAACTGATTCTGTATGACATAAAATACCTCCGTTTTCCTTTATTCCCAGTGTTGGTGCTATTACAGTCAAAAGTGCCTCTCTCCAACATTACGTTTGACCACCAGCTCTCCGAGTTTCTCCTCACTCCTGATTGCCCCTGTGGCTGTGCTGACAAGGAGGTGATGCGGACAGATGATCTGTCTGACAGGTCAGAGCGTGTGCTGGGAGAGTGCCTCAGCTCTGCAGGGCAGAGTGCTCCCTGGGCACAGCCGTGCCGCGTGCAGGTGGGCAGTTGGTGTGTGGGGCCTGGGGGAAACGCCTTGCAGTGGGCAAGAAATGGAATGATGAGTAACTCCATCATGCCCACCTCAGGATGTTGCTGAAGCATCTGCAGTTCCTGTAGGTGACGCGAGATCTGCTCTAGTGACAAGTTTTAGTGTTAACTGGGGGAAGGCAGTAGAAGTGGGATGTGCCAGCTTGGCTAGAGACCACATGGAAATCCTCAGCTGCCTTTAACCTGCGTGTGGCTTATTGCTTTGCACCGTGCCTGGCTGCTGCTGCTTCCTCCTCTTGCCTCGTGATGTGGGATGCAGAGCCTGCCACATCCTTGTGCCTTTAGAGGAGAGTTACCTTGGGAGCAGTGTGGCAACACCAAAGCCCAAGGCTATCCTGACTCCTTTGTGGCATGGGTCTGCTCTTTTATGCTCTCAATTTTTAATCCAAAGCTGAACAAACCTTTACCTGTACTTTAATGCAAGAAGGGAAGAAGACTGGGGCCTGGACAGGCTGGAGGTGGTTCACCGCTGGTCACTGCTGCCGGGGCCTTGCTGAGGGGCCATGTGGGAGCAGCATTCCTGAGTCCATGTGTCCCCATCCTCAGCTACTGTTTGTTCCCAGCAGGAAACAAACCTGGTGCACCACCAAAGTGGTCCTGCTTTGCCCTCCTGCCCCTCTGGAGCCAAATGGCTCCTTCCTGCTGAGGCCTGTGTGCCTGCCTGCAAGGAGAACATCCTTGCTGGGATGTCACCTGCTTCTGCTCAGGACATTAGTGGTGAGGAGCAAGTCTACTGCAGTGTCTCTCCCTGCCAGCTCCTGGGGCCAGTACCGTGCAGCAGGGGAAGCCCTGGGGCACTGCCCAGCTCAGCCAGTGTTGTGGTGGCACTGGGCGTTAAGGTGGGTGGCAGCATGGCAACACCAGCTCCAACAGGAGGAGATGCTTCCAACATCTCCAGAGAGCTTTCTACTGTCAGGGGAGCTGCTCTTCCCTGTGGCCTCCCAGCCTCAAGGAGTCAGTTGGGTTATTTTCCTTCTGTTTCTAGTGCTGTCCCAGCAGTGTGTCTCTACCAGGCCTGCTCTGGTGTCCCGCCAGGTGGAGCGTGGGGACTTGCTATGAGTGTCCCTGGGGAGGGCAGCCATTGGGCATGGCTGGCACTAGTTGATGTAACTGCAGCTGGTTGCACAGGCAGTGGTGGCTGACAAAGCTTCCACACATTCCCCCCCCCAGCGACACCCTCAGAGCCCACCAGACTCTCACAAGGACCTGCCCCTCCTCTCCCAACTGCTGGCCAGGAGAAATGGCTTCGGACCCAGGTACCTGGGATGCTCTCCCCAGGCCTGGCCGGTCACTGAGCAAGCCCCCCACCCCAGACATGCTCTGCAGCCATAGCTGGACATCCAGGCACATGAGGGACAGGCACCCACGGGAGCTGGGGGGACCTGCCTGCTGGCAGGGACACAGACATGAGGAGGCTGCAGGGCTCAGGTCTTTTATTGCAAAGAGGGAGATACGAAAAAGGACAGTCATCCCCTCTGGGCCCCCCTGGGCCTGCAGCTGGCTGAGAGGAGTGACAGGCAGGGGGAGGCCCAGGCCTCGCTTCTCCAGCATGGGGAACCTGGCTCACGCAGCAGGGAGCAGGCTGCTGCCAAGCACTGAGCTGGAGCCAGGTCCAACCACAACAGTGGAGCGGGTGACCCAAGTGTCCCCATGCAGGCCCCTGGCCTGAGCCCTGGCTGGCCAGAGGGCAGTGCTGCGTGGGGAGCACTGATGGGGGGAGCCCGGCGCAAGGTGGGGCTGCCTGGCCCCAACCAGACACGGCGTGTGGCAGGCAAACCTGGCCTCCTCCTCCGCTCTGCTGCTTGTCTCACTCGGTGGGGTGCTGAGGTCCCAAACCGCTCTGCGGCCTGATGGAGGCTGCTATGGGAGGCCCTCACCATGCGACCCTCGGGGACCGGAGCAGCTTCGCCCAAGGAAGGAGGGAGCAGGGTCATTGCCCTCTGTCCAGGCGGGGAGCTCGGCAGCCTGCCTCGGGTTTGCAGGTATGGCCAGGTGTGGCAGTGCCCAGGCTGTGGCTCCTGCTGGCTTGTCACGTGTTGTCCTGGGCCAGCTCCTCAGGACAGGCAGGCTGGTCCTGGGACTTGTGCAGCCCTGGGGAGGGCTGGGCCTGGGTGCTGTGCTGCAGGGCCAGGTCCGGCCCCAGGGGCGCGTGGTGCTGGTGCCGCTGGTACTGCACAAACGTACAGACCTTCAGCCCAATGGCCAGCATGTTCTTGCCCATGAAGATGCTGGAGACCCGGGCGTCCCTGAAGAAGACCATGTTGCTGCCTCGGATGAAGATGGTGGTGATGTTGACAGTGAGCATGCTCAGCATGGGGTATAGCATCATCCGGTGCGGCATGATGCCGATCCCTTGCATGCTGATCTCACAGAGGGACACACAAGGGAGGACCAAGAGCAAGATGTAGCAGTAGAAGAACATGATGCCCTCAGCCCAGAGCGGCAGCCCCTTCTTCTGGGGCTCCCACAGGTTGGCCTGGATGTCCAGCACGTCCAGCATGTCCACAATGACCCAGAAGAGGCGGTTGCGGAGATCTTCTTTCTTCTTGAATGTTCTGACATACTCCATGTGCTCTGTGGCCACCAACAACACATAGAGGGCTGGGATGCAGATGGAGAGCAGCAAGGTCAGTGCTTTGCGGGCTATGAGATCCAGGCTTTTCCGGTCAGCTTTATAGTTCTGGTATACAAAGTAGACTTTGATCTCCAGAACAAAGACATACAGGAACCAGAGGATCATGGCATAGCCCCGCTTAGCTGTCTTCACCTCAGCCCCAACCCAGATGGCCACATAGCGGAGCACCAGCAGGAAGCACACATCACCCACTGCCACCATGACACAGATGCCCAGCTTCCTGGAGCCCTGGCTCTGCTCCACCAGGTAGGCATCCATGAGGACAAGGCTGGTCATGATGAGCACAGTGGAGAGGCACACATGGGGCTTGCTGACAGGTGGTGGGGGAACCATCCTGCATGGAAGAACAGGCAGGGCTGTCAGGGAGTTGCTGGGATTCCCCATCCCCACCCTTGGGCTGCCTTC